TCTGCCCACCTTGGCCTCCTAAAGTGCTGGGATTACAGGCGTGAGCCCACTGCACTGAGCCTTTTTTTTTTTTTTTTTTGAGATGGAATCTCACTCTGTTGCTCAGGCTGGAGTGCAGTGGCACAATCTCGGCTCACTGCAACCTCCTTCTCCTGGGTTCAAGTGACTCTCCTGCCTTAGCCTCGCAAGTAGCTGGGATTACAGGTGTGCACCACCATGCCTGACTAACTTTTGTATTTTTAGTAGAGATGGGGTTTCACCATGTTGGCCAGGCTGTTCTCGAACTCCTGGCCTCAAGCAGTCTGCCTGCTTCAACCTCCCAAAGTGCTGGGATTGCAGGCGATAGACCTTATTTTTTAATTTTTTGAGGGTCTCTCTCTGTTGCCCAGGCTGGAGAACTAGTGGCACAATCATAGCTTCCTGTAACCTTGACCTCTTGGGCTCAAGTGATCTCCTGCCTCAGCCTCCCGAATAGCAGGGACTACAGGTGGCATCACCAAGCTTGGCTTTTTTGTTTTTGTTTTTGAGATGGAGTCTTGTTCTGTTGCCCAGGCTGGAGTGCAATGGTGTGATCTTGGCTCACTGCAACCTCCTCCTCCCACCGGGTTCCAGCATTCTCCTGCCTCAGCCTCTCGAGTAGCTGGGATTACAGGTGTGTGCCACCACATCCGGCTAATTTTTGTATTTTTAGTAGAGACGGGGTTTCATCATGTTGGCCAGACTGGTCTTGAACTCCTGACCTCAAGTGATCTGCCCACTTTGGCCTCCCAAAGTGCTGGGATTACAGGTGTGAGTCACCGTGCCCAGCACTTTTGTATTTTTTGTAAAGACTGGGTTTCATCATGTTGTCCTGGCTGGTCTCAACTCCTGGACTCAAGAGACCCACTCACCGTGGCCTCCCAAAGTGCTGGGATTACAGGCATGAGGCCAATGCTTGGCTAACAAATTTTTTTTTTGTAGAGATGGGGGTCTTTTTATGCTGCCCAGGTCAGTCTCGAATTCTTGGACTCAAGTGATCCTACAGCCTCAGCCTCCCAAAGTGCTGGGATTAGATTACATCTGTGAGCCCCAGCACCCGGCCTTGGTTAGACCTCTTGCCTCTCCCTTGAGCACAGCCCCCAGTCCCTGAGGTTCCACCTCCCCTGTCTTATGCTTGCCTCAGCTCTTAGGAGCCGTGGGCTCCCCACACAGAAAGCTTGCTTCATGTTCTCTCACCCACCTTCCTTCCTGAGGTCAGGGCTGTCTGTCTTCTCGTTGGTGGTCCCTCATCAGACTGGGACTTCAGAAGAGCAGGGCTTGTCTTCCTCATCAGACCTGATCCTGATAGCAAGGGCTGTTTTCTGCTTAGATCGGGGCAGGCCTGTGTCTCCCCCTCAAACACAGGGTTCCCTGGGAGGCCCCACCCCAACTCCACAGCTATGGCTGACTCCTTCAGTCCTTACGCCCATCCCTTGAGGGTGGGGCCACTGTTTCTGCTGCCCTGATGCCACCCTTGGGGTTGCTCTTGCTGAGGGAGCTGTGGGGTCCTGAGAGGTTGGGGTCTGGCCTCCCTTAGGAAGCCCCTCCCCTAGGAGGCCGGGGCCTCCTTCCTTCTGCCACTCTTCTAGCCCTTCAGCCGATTCTCTCAAACTTTCCTGCACAAGGGCCAAGTTGGGGATGCAGGGCCAAGACCTTGTCTCCACAACTTCAGGTAAGGGAGGGGTGCTGGTTGCCTCCAGCCCTGGGGTGATACCATGGGCAGTGATTCCTGCCAGTGGAGGCCGTCCAGGCCTGGTGCCCAGCCTTAAGGCCTGCAGCACAGACCATGCTAGTCAAGGGGGCAGGATTCAGGGCTCTGGGCTGGGGTCCCAATCCTACCTCCCCCATGAACTGGCTGTGTGACCTTAAGCAAGCCCGCTGGCCTCTCTGGGCCTTGGTTTCCTCATCCATGACGCAGGGGTTAGAAAACCAGCCCCACTCACAGTGCTCCTCTCAGGGATGATGGTTGAGTTGCCCGTGCTTGGAGCAGCGTCTGGTGCATGAAAGGGGCTCAGTCACCCTGGGCTCACACCATCCAAGGTGCCGAGGAGCAAACCGGCTCCCTGGCCCTTGCCCAGGACCCCAGGTCTCTCTACGGCTTGGGGGCCTTGGTGTCCTCTCTCTACCCAGTGCAGAGAGAACCTATGCCTGATGTTGTGATGTGAGGGGTGGCAGCAGGGGAAGCGCCCAACATTTGGACAGAAGTTCATCCTGCTTCCTCTCAGATGCCAGCCCAGGATCCAAGGACCGTTCTTCTCATCTGCATAGCTCTCCTGGGAAACCTCATGCTCCTCCCTCTCAGGTGTCCAGGTGGCCCCTCTTTTAATCTCTGAAGCTCTCAGGCTTCACCAACGGAGGAGTTGGGGGCACCTGGGGCACCAGGATCCCAGGCACACTCATCCTTTGGGATGTTTGTGGGGCACACAGTCACACCCATAAGGGCCCAACTGCCACTTCTCTTCCACGCAAGGGATCCTCCTGGAGCTGAGGAGAGATGGTCCTTGGGAGGGGGCCTGGGACAGGGGGTCTCACAGTGTCCCTCAGCAGCTTCATCCACAAATGCACACCCGAGATGAGGACGCCAGTTACCAAGGGACACTGCCAGGTGGGAATTAGTGAGAATGAGCTTTATGTAAGTTTAGGAAGGAGGCCTCACAGGCATGTGTACCTGTGGTAATATGTTATTTATTGAGACAATGTGCCAAGCTGTGCCACATACCTCACAAACATATCTGATTTCATTCTTGTGACTTCCTAGCAAGGTAGTAACTATGATTACCTCCATTTTTTGTATGTATGTATTTATGTATTTATTTATTTTTGAGACAAAGTCTCACCCTGTTGCCCAGGCTGGAGTGCAGTGGTGCAATCTCGGCTCACTGCAACCTCTGCCTCCCGAGTTCAAGCGATTCTCCTGCCTCAGCCTCCCGAGCGAAAGGCGCACCACCACGCCCAGCTAACTTTTGTATTTTTAGTACAGATGCGGTTTCACTATGTTGGCCAGGCTGGTGTCGAACCCCTGACCTCAAATGATCCACCCACCTCGGCCTCCCAAAGTGCTGGGATTACAGGCGTGAGCCACTGTATCCAGCCTAGATTACCTCCATTTTTTAGATCAAGAAAACAGTTTGAGCTGGGCACAGCTGAAACTCCCCTGGGAAGGGGCGCCAAGGTCCAGGATGAGGAGGAATTCTCAGGTATGTGGCATTCCTGCTGGTGGCGGGACAGGGAAGGACAGAAAAGATTTGCTGGTGGACACAGTATTTTATTATAGGAAAGGGCCCTGAAATAATCTCATCCGAGCCCCTTAAAGATGAGGAAACTGAGGCCCGAGTAATAGAGGTATTTTTCTGAGGTCACAGTGTGAGTTGGGGACAGCTAGCTCCTGCATTCCACCCAGCAGAAGGAAGTTGGGGTGGAGCTACCAATTGGCCACATCTGCCTAGAAGTGAAAGGCTCAGCAAGAAGAGGCAAGAACCAAGGACCTCAGGACCTAGTCTGAGGAAAGCAGTTAGGGCTGGAGGGCTCTTCAGGTGTCTTGGAGCTGACTCGGGGCAGACGGCAAGGCCTGTGCTGAATGAACGAACGAGGGAATGGGCAATGGTGAGGAAGGGCAGGGGGACAAGAGAACCAGGCCACTGAGGGGCTGCTGGGACCAAGGGAGCCAGGCTTCAAGGAGGAAAGAAAGGAGAAAAGGAACCAACTTTGGTCATCAGTAGCCTGTCCATGACCTTGGAATAGATGATCCTAGTGGAATGCTTCAGGCAGAGCTACCCAGGAAGGAAGTGTGGAAGGGAAGGAGGTGAAGAGGAGGCGGTAGGTATAGACTGCAGGAAGGAGCCAGAGAACAGAAGGTGGGAGTCTTCAAGTATTTGAAGTTGATTTACTGAATCAACTCAAGTGGTTTCCAGGAGAGAAGCATGGCATTTTGGGGCAGAAGGGAGAGGTGGCAAGTCTGAGAAGGAAACCAACAAGGGTGGTTGGCTAGGTGGGCTGGACGGCCAGGGACAGACAGCGTGACTTATGGAGGGAGGACACCTCTTCAGAAAGAAACCGAAACATGTTGAAAAGGGACTGACTGCAAGATGAAGCAGTGTCCACTGGGTCTGGGTCAAAGTCATCTGGTGCGGGAGGGGGATGTGGAAAGGGGGCTGCAGTGGAAAGGAGTCTGAGCAGTGCTCACGCCAAGGAGCCACTGCGGGACCTCATTCACATCAAGCAGCACCCATCCGTCCTGGGTCACGTCTCAGGTATTCTGAGTTCACCTCTAACCTGAATCTACAGCCAGGAAGCCGCAATGGAGAAATGGCTGAGGAGCGTTCCAGCCTTGGGGTTTGGCCTGGCAGAGATGTCCAAGGTCATGATCATTGAGATAGGAGGGGAAGGCAAGAGTACCCGGATGTGAGGCTCGGGGAATGGGTCCTGGGCAGCTGACAATGAGGGCACCCGAACCCAGCACCACAGGCTTTGTGTGAGCAGCAGGTAAAGGTATCAAAGTCTGAGACAGGGGTGAGGGGAAACTTCCTCATGCAGAGGGGTGGTGTCATGGGGAATGAGGCAACTCCATGTCACAAAAGGAAAGGGATGAACCCAGCAGCACCCAGACATAAACCACAGTCTGGCTTCAGGGAAGAGGACTGAGCCCTTAGCAGGGATCTCCGTCAGGGCAAAGGAGTTTTCTTGGGAGGGATGAAGGGGCATGTCCTCTGCTGGCAACCACTCCCCAGGCAACAGAACCAAGTAAGTGACCAGATGAGACTAGGTAAAGGAGGCTGGGCAGGGACAGAGGCAGCCCTGCTCCCTGGAGCCCTTAGCCCTTGGGCAAGGCCGGCAGGAGGGTTGTGGCACTCACACGTGTGTGACTTGCAGGAGGTCCCATCCCACCATCTAGTGATTCTGTCCATCGCTCCTGGCCCGCAGCCCTGCCTTGGGTCACTGGAGGGCAGATCAAGGACTGACATATGGCATTCCAGCCCCATCTCTTTGCTATTTGTTATTAACAAATTTATTTACATTTCCTGAACCAAAATTAATTGTAAAATTTAACAGGAAGGGGGTAACATGACCTCTAAGGTGGGCTGTACACAAAGTTGCTCTATTTCCAAACTAATAACTTGAGTCCTCACCCACAGCTGGGTCCCCTCTTCTTCCTTTGAAAGGAGATACAGAATAGCACCAGGCTTCCGGGAGCTTCAACATTTAAAGAGACAAACCCACGGACACAGAGAAGGGTGAGAAGAACCACAGTACAAATTATAATGAAAGAAAAAGTGGCCAGAGAATCGATAGCAAACCCATTTCTGTCTCCAGATTAATGGCTTGGCTGCCAGAAATGGGGGGAGGTCCTTGGGGAAGGAGAGGAGGGACTGAGGGAGGAGGGTGATGTGGAAGTTGGCAGGTGACACACTGGCCCCGGAACAGCCGAACTCCAGGCAGGCAGCTCAAGCTGAGAAGGCAGAGAAGGGCCAAGAGGGGTCCCAGAGGGGGCTCTGGCCACATCCTGGGCTCAGGGGAAAGGTCAGTGCTGGGCCCCAACTAAGTGCCTGGGGGAGGGAGCTCTGTGAGTGGCGCAGCTCGAGCCCCTCCTCTGCTTCATATGTTCCTGAGGATCTGTGTGCGGGAGCGTGGGGGGCTGGGGGAGGGGATAAACACAGGCATTTCGGAAAGCAGGAGCGGCCACATGCTCGTGGGAAAGGAGGTCGGGCTTGGGGGTGGAGCACACCAACAGCTAACCCTCGGCTCTGCAGAGAGGCAAGGGCCTGCGGAGGGCCAGGAAGCCAGGCCAGGACTCCTGCTGCCCCAGCTCCTTTGTGGTCCCTCCCCATGCCAACTTTGCCTCTGTCTCCTGGCGTGGGTGGCCAGTCTCAGCTGGGCAAGCCCACTGTGGACTCTGCCTGGTCAGGAATATGGCAGGAGGTGGGGGTAGGAGAGGGCAGCCCCTAGTCCAGATTCTCTCCCAAAGACCTGGCCAGTGGGAGGGCTGGCTCTGTTGGCTCCATGGAGCTGAGCGTGACAGCTGCTTGCTGGACTTCAAAGGCCAGGCCTGGGCCCCCTTCTGGCTCTTTTGGGGAAGTCCTGGGGCTCTGCCCCTCCTGCGTCCTGGTCAGCCCTGGCCGGGTGTGCAGCACGCAGCAGGGGAATAAATTGTATCTGTGGCCCTTCAATCTGGAGCTGCCTGGCTCCGTGAAGAGCCAAGCACCTTGGGGACTCATAGGAGCAGCTCTCTGCCGGCATGGGGCCGGGGCTGGGGCTGGGGTTGGGACCAGGGCTGGGAGACAGGGCGACAGGGCACCTGGAGAGGCTGGGGGCCCAGAGGCATCAGGAACAGCTGGCTCCTGCACTGGCTGGCAGGGGCTGCAGGAAGGAGGTAGACCTGCTCTCTGCAGGTGCTCCTGAGGGCTGCACACTGGTAGCTGAGTGCAGGGGGGCTGATGGCCGGCCTGGAGCTGTGGGGCAGCTGGGGAGCTGGCCAGCCTCCTGGGATACAGGGCTAGGGGTTGCACACTCAGAATCCTCAGGCCCTGGGGGCCATCCTTCCCCCAGCCAGTGGGGCTGTGTGGCCCAGAACTCTCCTGGTCTGTCTGTGGGCTGCCAGGGGAAGGGGTCTGGGAGAGAGAGGCAGGTCTGTGAGTGGCACAAGGGCTGGAGGGAGGTGAGGAGCCTGGACTCATGGCCTGGAAGGGGAAGACAGGGAAGATGCTTGCCACCGGTTGTCCTGGTGCCACAGGGGTTAGGTGCTATTGGGACAAAAAATGAAGCCTGTGGCCAAGAGGCCCCCACTCTCTTCTCAGCATTGCCACTGGGGAACTGAACCTTGCGCTTGTGGCCAACAAGTGCCAGGTCTGGGCCAGAGGCGAGTTCCATAAAACCAGAGCTAGGCAGCAGGCGTTGGCAAGCAGGGTTCCTAGACATCGGTGTCTCTGGGGTGTCCATAAACACATCAACTAACCCCCTCAGGTCCTGGCAGCTTGCTATAGGTTCAGGTACCTCACCAGTCCCTGCACGTTCAGCTGGTGCCTGCGTGCTGTTCACTGTCCCATCCTGCTTTGGGACACCTGACACCTGGCAGCCGTCTTCCTTCCTTATCCTGGGAGATGCTGCCCTGGGATGGGAGGGCTGGTGGGGATGCAGAGTCTTAGGACAGAGAGGGTCACAGTCAGAAGCTGGGGAACCTGACCACCTGTTGGGACAGAAACACCCAGTGAGCTGCAGGTTTCAACTTCACAGCAGGCCTGGGCCAGGGCTGAGGGCACAGGGAGAGCCGCCACAGCTGGCGGTTCATGTGTTGAGATAGCTGCCTTCTCTGAGGCCCTGTGTGAAAGTCCTCCTGTTTGGGTCTGAACCTGCCGCAGCAGTTAGCAGTGTGTGCACTTCTCTTGGCTCTGTGGCCTGTGGTTGGGGCTGGCCAGAGGAATATGTTAGAGGCTATTCCATTTCATGACTTCACAGAGGAGGCTGTGCCCTTTGGCAGCTGAAGAAAGCAGTGCAGTTCCTGGCTGTGCGAGTTGAGCTTGAGGTGGAGATTTGGGGTGAGAGGTGAAGCCATAGCTCCAGATGGGAGAGGGTCTGCCTTGCTGGCAGCAAGGGGAAGCGGAGCTCAGAGGGCCCTGGAATTCCCACCAAACCCCATGCAGTCCTTCCTTCTGGTGGTGACTTCTACAGAGGGAGAAAGACTTTACTCTTCACCTATCTAGGAGAGGCCCAAAAACTACCCCCCTGCTCCGTGGCCAGAATTGCTTATCATCCACATCAAAGCCCGTGGGGTAGGAAGGGAGCCACAGTCTGGTCTGGGTCTAGTCTTCATCAACTGAAGCCACAAATGGAGGTCTTTTAATTTTTTTTTGGCCACCCCCAAAACAAACAGGACTGAGGATGAGGGGAAAGGAAGGTGAGAAAAGAGGAAAACATCACAGTCTGGTCCCAACAGCCACCAACCTGAGGGTCTCTTCCCACCCAGAGGGCAACAGAGGAGAGTGCAGACACAGTTATGCCTGCCAGCATGGCACTCACCTGGGGAGGCCGGCCTGGAAAGGGATGTCTACAAAGCTGTGGCTGAGCTGGGCAATGATCCTGTCCACTTCTGCATATGGATGGGCTTCTAGGGCAAAGCCCTGGTGCTGGGCACTCTGAAGATGCTACCGGGGGGCGAGAGGAAGACAGGGCATTACATGAGGCCTGGGGGGAGGGGGACATGGAAGCTGACCTCCCAGCCCATGCTATGGCCCTGGAGGACACAGCCACAGCAGTGTGGAGATTGCACAGGAAGGACTCATCCCCAATGAGCAGGATCCCTCAAGGCACTCTGGGAGCAGCTGCTTAGTGGGGAAGGGGCTCACCACATGGAGCTCCTCGAAGGCCTCTTGGCAGCACTCACAGTAGCCTTTCTTCCTCCTGGGCATGGTGTGGGCAGCTGATCGCAGGCTTGGCTCTCCAGCCTTGGATTCTCTGGGGAGGGTACATAGTGCAGTAAAGTGGTTACTGCTGGGGCCCTTGGGGGAAGAGCCACTACTTAGGGCCTGGAGCCTAGGTCAAGGAGGGGAAGGACTGAGACGGCCAAGGGGCTGGGCAGGCACCGGAAGGTGGGCCTTCCCTGAGCTTGGTACCAATCATCTAAGAATGGCAAGAGAGGAACAAGGAAGAAGACGTCTGGAGACCTCCTTGTGGGCAGCCTGTCTTATCTCTGTCCTTCTCTTTTTTTTTTTTAGACAGAGTCTAGCTTAGTCACCCAGGCTGGAGTGCAGTGGTGTGATCTCGGCTCACCGCAACCTTCGCCTCCTGGGCTCAAGCCATTCTCCTGCCTCAGCCTCCCGAATAGCTGGGATTACAGGCACACACCACCACGCCCAGCTAATTTTTGTATTTTCAGTATAGATGGGGTTTCACCATGTTGGCCAGGCTGGTCTCGAACTCCTGACCTCAGGTGATCTGCCTGCCTTGGCCTCCCAAAGTGCTTGGATTACAGGCGTGAGCCACCGCTCCCGGCCGTCTCCGTCCTCTTAAACCACAGGTGAGGATGGGGTGGTGATAGCAGCAGCAAGAATCCCTTGTAGGAATTCCAACTCTGTGCTCAAACCTACACCCACATTCATGAGACCTGAAAGATGAAAGGGAAAAGGTCTCAGCCACAGTGAAGGGACTGCTCTTCTTTTCCACCCTGAATATCTCCCCAGCTTGGTTCGGTCTGTCCCTTCCCTCATGCTGCCTTGTGTCTCTCACAGTTGTCCTCACTGTCCACTAGGACTTTCAAACCTTCCTCAAACCTGACTTTTTTTTTTTTAGATGGAGTCCCGCTCTGTCACCCCCAGGCTGGAGTGCAGCAGCACAATTTCAGCTCACTGCAACCTCCACCTCCTGGGTTCAAGTCTCTTGTCTCAGCCTCCCAAATAGCTGGGATTACAGGCACACACCACCACCCAGAGCTAATTTTTTTTCTTTGCATTTTTAGTAGAGACAGGGTATCGCCACATTGGCCAGGCTGATCTCAAACTCCTGACCTTAGGTGATCCGCCCGCCTCAGCCTCCCAAAATGCTGGGATTACGGACTGAGCCACAACATCTGGCCAAACCTGACTTCTTATCTGAATATCAGCCCCGTATTTCTAACACCTAAAGGGCATTTCTTTTTTTTTTTTTTGAGACGGAGTCTTGCTCTGTCGCCCAGGCTGGAGTGCAGTGGCCGGATCTCGGCTCACTGCAAGCTCCGCCTCCTGGGTTCCTGCCATTCTCCTGCCTCAGCCTCCCGAGTAGCTGGGACCACAGGCGCCCGCCGCCTCGCCCGGCTAGTTTTTTTTTTGTATTTTTTAGTAGAGATGGGGTTTCACCGTGTTAGCCGGGATGGTCTCGATCTCCTGACCTCGTGATCTGCTCGTCTTGGCCTCCCAAAGTGCTAGGATTACAGGCTTGAGCCACCGCGCCCGGCCACTAAAGGGCATTTCTATCTGGCTATCCAGCAAACTCGGCAAGTCCAAAACACTCCTTTTAAAGACTTCCAGACGATATACAGAAAAACTCATAAATTCAACTATATACAACTTTAAAATATGTATGCATGGCAAAGAATCATTAGCAAATGATATGGTTAGGCTTTGTGTCCCCACTCAAATCTCATATTGAATGTAACCCCTATAATCCCCAAGTGTCAACGGAGAGATCAGGTGGAGGTAACTGAATCATGGGGGTGGTTTCCCCCATGCTGTTCTCGTGATACTTAGTTCTCATGAGATATGATGGTTTTATAAGGGGCTCTTTCTGCTTCGCTCAGCACTTCTCCTTCCTGCCACCTTGTGCAGAAGGTGCCTTGCTTCCCCTTTGCCTTCCACCATGACTGTAAGTTTCCTGAGGCCTCCCCAGCCATGCTGAACTGTGAGTCTATTAAACCTCTTTCCTTTACAAATTATCCAGTCTCACACAGGTCTGTATAGCAGTATGAAAATGGACTAATACAGCAAAGTTAAAAGACAAACCACAAACTTGGGGTTTTGTTGTCTTTTAAAAGTATTTACAACTTCTCTGGTCAGGGAGGCTTAGAAAAAAAGAAAACTATATATATTGATTTATTTACAACTGCCAGGTACGGTGGCTCATGCTTAGAATCCCTGCATTTTGGGAAGTCAAGGCGGGAGGATCGCTTTGGCCCAGGAGTTCGAGACCAGCCTGGGCAACATGGTAAAACCCTACCTCTACAAAAAATATAAAAATTAGCCAGGTGTGGTGGTGCGCAACTGTAGTCCCAGTTACTTGGGAGGCTGAGATGGGAGGATCGCCTGAGCCTGGGAGGTGGAGGTTACAGTGAGCAGAGAAAAGAAAATATTTACAACTAATGACAAAGAGCTCATTTTTCTAATAGGAGAAGGGCTCTTTACAAATCATTAAAGTGATCAATAACCCCAATAAAAAATGGGCAAAGTATATAAAGAAGGTTCACGTAAAAAGAGACTCAGACAACCAAACATACGCAAACATACTTAGCCTCATTCATAGTAAGAAAAAACAAAAATTATAATTATACTGAGATACAGTTTTTAATCTGTTATACTGGAGGTCAACATATCTGCCAGTAACAGCATGAGGCGAGGGGATGGGAAACAGCCTCTCTCATGCAGTGCAGGTAACATATAAGTTGGCATCTCCTCCATGAAAAGCCATTTGGCTGAATTTATCAAAATTATAAATGCATATATCTTTTGACCCAATATTTCTATCTTTAGGAATTTACTCCACAAATACAATTGTTCAAAATTGCAAATTTACTCTGAACATGATTTTCATTGGAGCTAATCTAAGCATCCATGAATAACAGACTGGTTAAATAAAATACAGGAAATACATTCCATATAATAGAATAATGGAATACCCTGCAGCCATAAAAGGGAACACAAATTTTTTTTTTTTTTTTTTTTGAGACAGGGTCTCACTCTGTCACCCAGGCTGTTGTGCAGAGGTACTACCTTGGCTCACTGCAACCTCCGCTTCCCATGCTTAAGTAATTCCCCAGCCTCAGGCTCCCGAGTAGCTGAGACTACAGGTTTGCACCACCACGCCTGGCTAATTTTTGTATTTTTAGTAGAGGTGGGGTTTTACCATGTTGCTCAGGCTGGTCTCAAACTCGTGGGCTCAAGTGGTCCACCTGCCTTGGCCTCCCAAGGTGCTGGGATTACAGGTATAAGCCACTGTGTCTGGCCAGATTTTTAAAAAATATAAAAATAGAGATGGTGGTCTCATTATGTTGCCCAGGCTGGTCTCGAACTCCTGGCCTCAAAGTGATCATTCCCCCTTGGGCTCCCAAAGTGCTGGGATTACAGGCGTGGTCTATCTTCAGAGATAGTTCATAGATACACAAGTACATATGTATCCTTCATTCTCTCTTCTTACATAAAGAATCATGGCCGGGGCGGTGGCTCAAGCCTGTAATCCCAGCACTTTGGGAGGCCAAGACTGGCGGATCACGAGGTCAGGAGATCAAGACCATCCTGGCTAACACGGTGAAACCCTGTCTCTACTAAAGAATACAAAAAAACTAGCTGAGCGAGGTGGCGGGCGCCTGTAGTCCCTGCTCCTCGGGAGGCTGAGGCAGGAGAATGGCGTAAACCTGGGAGGCGGAGCTTGCAGTGAGCCGAGATCTGGCCACTGCACTCCAGCCCGGGCGACAGAGCCAGATTCCATCTCAAAAAAAAAAAAAAAAAAAAAAAAAAAAAAAATCATATAGGCTGGGCATTGTGGCTCATGCCTGTAATCCCAGCACTTTGGGAGGCTGAGGTGGGTGGATCACGAGGTCAGGAGTTTGAGACCAGTCGGCCAACATGGTGAAACCCCATCTCTACTAAAAATACAAAAAATTAGCCGGGCGTGGTGGTGCGTGCCTGTAATCCCAACCACTCGGGAAGCTGAGGGAGGAGAATCGTGTGAACCCGGAAGGTGGAGGTTGCAGTAAGCAGAGATCACCCCACTGCACACCTGCCTAGGCAACCGTGCGAGACTCATTCTCAAAAAAAAAAAGAATCATATAGTATTGACTGCGCTGATAGTATTGACTGTGCTGGATGTTACTTGGTTTTTCTTTTCACGCTGCCCCAGGCTGTACTCTCCATTTGGCAGGGGTGAGGCACCACTCGGATCTCCTCCAGCCTCTACCCCTGGGAGGAAGGTTGCACCCGTGAGGGGACAGAACTGGAGGCTGGGTGTGGAATATAGACTTTTCACATTAAACCATTTGTAACACAAATTTTAAACTTTTTAAGTTTTTAAAATTTTAAACTTTAAAATAATGATTTCAAAAATGTAAAAATTTAAACACTTCTTCCTACACAGATTTTCCACACACATACACACACGTCTGGAACTTTGATGTCCTACCAGGGCCAACCCCCTGCCTAGGCTCCTCACATGCAGATACCAAAGCTTCGTTGCTTCATCTTCCCTTTAAAGCCTCTTAGCTCCTCTGTGATCTCAAGGCCATCCCAGGCCTAGCATCACTACCAGCGCCATGCCTGGTTCACCTTCTGACTGGCTCTCCCTGGTATCCCTTGTATTGGGACTTAACCTCACCTCTTTCTCTCCTTGCTCCCACTTCATCTACTGCCACATTCCCTTAATTTTTTCCCTCTTATTTGTACTATTTTCTGACCCACAGCCTTTGTCAGATGGAAACCACAGACCCTCCTTGGCCCCAGGAACTCTAGGGCTAAGAGTCTACTCTATTCTCTCCTGGTCTATAACCCCATAGCCCAGAGGTTAGAAAGGGTCTGAGAAGGCATCTCACCCATCACCTGAGCTGAACTCCTTCTCTACTTTGGTTAATGAAGGTTCAAATTCTCAAACATCTGCAGTGTAGACATATTAACAAGCCCACAAGCCATGAGTCACGTAATGCAGTGATCTTCTCTCCCGCCCTGCCCCTTAGTTATTCCTGACATTTGGCCCAACCAGTTTAAACTTTGATATTCACTAAAATCACCTGGGAGCTTATAAAATGCAGCTTTGGGGCTCCATCATCAGAGATTTTGATTCTATAGATGTGGGGTGGAGTTCAGGACCCTGCATCAGGGTTTCACTCTGTCACCCAGGCTGGAGTGCAGTGGCACAACCATAGCTTACTGCAACCTTCAACTCCTGGGCTCAAATGATCGTCCTGCCTTAGCCATCTGAGTAAGTGGGACTACAGGCACTTGTCATCACGCTTGACTAATTTTTTTTTCTTTTTTGAGAACGGGTCTCACTCCATTGCCCAAGCTGGAGTGCAGTGGCACAATCTCAGCTCACTACAACCTCTGCCTACTGGGTTCAAGCAATTCTCCTGCTTCAGCCTCCCGAGTAGCTGGGATTACAGGTGTGTGCCACCATGCCCAGCTAATTTTTTTTTTTTGGCATTTTTAGTAGAGATGGGGTTTCACCATATTGGCCAGGCTTGCCTCAAACTCCTGACCTCAAGTGATCCGCCCACCTTGTCCTCCCAAAGTGCTGGAATTACGGGCAAGAGCCTCTCTGCCCGACTCATAATTTTTTATTTTTTATTTTTATTTTTTTGTAGAGACAGGGTCTTGCTATGTTTGTGTGCCCAAGTTGGTTTCAAACTCCTGGCCTCACGTGATCCTCCCACTTTGGCATCTCAAAGTGCTGAGATTACAGGTATCACCTGTTGTGCCCAGTTAGAACTTGCACTTTTAATGAGACCTCAGGGGACTCTGATGATGGTGGTCTATAGATATGAGTTTGAGAAAGCGGTCTATTGTCCTCTATGTATACTCGGTAAATCCTGCCGAGCACACCATGTTTGGTTGCAATGGTCCATGCTCTGGGGGAAACAGTGCAGGCCAGGGGTTCTAGGTGGACAGGGTAAGAGTGCTGTGGCTCAGCAGTGAATTAACAAATAAGTCTTCTTGGACTCTTAAGGAGAAAGGGGTGCCCCTCACAACCCTGGCACCTCCCTTTCTTCTTCAAGTTAAATTCTTCAGTACGGATGAAGAACACAAAATAAAATGGATGAATGCTCCTAGTCTCTCTTCTCTGGGCTACATTCCCAGAATAGACTTTGCCTAAGGAGCAAACACATGGCCATTCCCAAATCTGACCAGCAGGCCCCCAATAGGGAGGACTTTGGCCTGTAACCAGCCCTTGGTACTCAGGAACCAGAAAGACCCACCTGGTATGGTGCCTGCTGCCCAGGGTCGTCAGGGCTTCAAAGGGACTTGCATCTTTGGGTCCAAGAAAAGAAATTTCAGGAAAGGATTTAAACTGATGATGGAAAGGACGAAACTTCCTGCAACAGAGAAAACTTCTACTTTGACTACAATGCGGAAGGTAAAGGCTGAGGAGGGGGCCTCGCCCAATGCCCTAGAATTCCAGCCCTGATAAAGTGGACTCTCACCTCCACATCTTTTAAATTCTGTAACAAAACTCATCAGCCTTTCTAGGTTAAATTAATATGCATGTTCTCCCTGTCTACTTTTCAAACTCATGCCACTGCCTCCCTGAAATCCTATAAGCACCCTCTGGGTTTATCCTATATCTAAGGAAATGAAGCCCAAGAGGTTCTGTGACTTGCTCAAGGGCTCACAGATAGTTAAGCGGCCAAGGTCAGATCAGAAGCCACGTCTCCAGACTCCCGATCTACTTTTCCCCACCTTCCCATTTTGTTTCTTGACCCTACAACAATCTTTGAGGACTCTAGCCTGGCAGATTCTAAATGGAAGCATGTTTAAACCAGAACAGTTATTTCCCTGTTTTGTGAAGCGTTCTTGCTGGTCCTTAGAATCATCTGAGGGCTGGTATTCTGAACAGAGAAGACAGGCACAGTGAAGGTTCTGGATAGTCAGACCTGGACTGAGTGGTTCTGGCAGTGTGCCTGAAGTTGCAAACATTCAAGAGACTTGCAGAGACAGAAGTGATCTGTGTATACTTCGCAAACCCTGCCGAGTGAGGTAACTGCTGGGCGCACCATGTTTGGTTGCAATGGTCCATGCTCTGGGGTAAACAGTGCAGGCCAGGGGTTCTCAGGGAGCAGGGTAAGAGTGCTGTAGCTCAGCAGTGAATTAACAAATAAGTCTTCCCAAACCCTTAAGGAGAAGGGGGTGCCTCTCACAACCCTGGCGTGTTCCTTTCTTCTTCAATGATGTCTTGTTTCTGCGTAGGGGGCTTGAAACTTGAGGATGGGCAGGCTAATAGGCCTAATAGGCTTTGAAGACACCTGCTTCAAAACAGCACATAAAAAAAATCACAAGAGGCTGGGTACTGCGGCTCCCACCTGTAATTCCAACACTTTGGGAGGTGGAGGCAGGCGGATCACCTGAGGCCAGTTCATGACCAGCCTGACCAACATGGCCAAATCCCGTCTCTACAAAAAAATACAAAAATTAGCCAGGCATGATGGTGAACACCTTTAGTCCCAGCTACTTGGGAGGCAGAAGAATCGCTTGAATCTGGGAGGCAGGGGTTGCAGTAAGCCGAGATTGCGCCGCTGCACTCCAGCCTAGGCGACAGAGTGAGACTCTGTCTCAAAAAAAAAAAAAAAAAATTCACAAGAAATCTCAGCTCCAGTTGGATCTTCTCTCTGGCCTATAATGCCAGGAACACACACATTATGTACCCCCTTCTGGTGACAGTGATATACCTGTGCCCGCCATGTGCAGTGCAGATACTGAGGCTGTAACAATGCCTCTCAGTCGCTGCATATGTGTCATGATTACCTACATTTAAATAGGTGTGAAGGGGCTGGGGATGAACACACACTCCATCCCACTGGAACTGGAAGGGAACACCTCTGTACCATCCTGTTGTTCTCTCCACTTGCCTTTGGGCCACCAAAGCCAGCACTGCACTGTCTGCAGGTGCTGAGAAGGGACCCTGGGTATGTCTGGAGTATGGGCAGGCATGCCAGGCTCCTAGGGCTGGTCTCAGCTGCCCTGCCCTTCCCTGACTGAGTCACACAGACAATTCTGTGCTAAGTAGTCTCTGCTAGATATACACAGACTTATTTCCTTTAAAAAATTTATTTAGTCTGGGCCGGGCGCAGTGGCTCACGCCTGTAATCCCAGCAGTTTGGGAGGCCGAGGCGGGTGGATCACAAGGTCAGGAGATTGAGACCATCCTGGTTAACACGGTGAAATATAAAATACTAAAAATACAAAAAATTAGCCGGGCATGGTGGTGGGCGCCTGTAGACCCAGCTACTTGGGAGGCTGAGGCAGGAGAATGGTGTGAACTCAGGAGGCAGTGAGCCGAGATCGCACCACTGCACTCCAGCCTGGGCGACAGAGTGAGACTCTGTCTCAAAAAATAAATAAATAAACAAACAAATAAATTTATTTAGTCTGAAAATGCCTTTTTGGAAAAAAATTTCTTTTTTAAATTTTGAGAAAATTATAGATTCACATAGACTTTTGATCTTGTACTTACTGAAGATTCAGTGATAACCAACATGGCTGCTAATAGCTCATCAGGTTAACAATGTCAATGGGACCCTCCTGCTCCAGGGAAGAAGAGGCCATAATGGTGGACGGAGAAGACACAAAACAGGGCAGGCAGGACACCTGGATTCTAGCCTCGGTCTGCAGTTTATTAGCAAGGTGGCTGTACACAAGTCCCTTCCTTTCTCTGACCTCAGTTTTCCCCATTAGGAAGAGACAGACTCTCCTCATGCTTTTTTCACCCAGGGCTGTCAGGAGATAACATGAGCCAGAAAAGGATTTTTCAAAGCGAAACAGAAAGGCTTTATCAAGTACAGGGTGGCCTGAAAAGGGAATCCCCAATACCACCCCTAGCATCCTCATTTCAGCCAAGATGACGTCTTGGACTATACTAGCACCGTGACTGGGTCAGTAATGATTTGACATGAAATGTCAGCATACACCCAAGGGGAAAAGAGCTGCAATAATGAGCCTGCATGGGACACCATGAGCTCACAGAGCAGAGTTTTAAATGGAGGTAATTCACACACAGGATCATTAACCTCTGACTCATCTCCAAGAGGACTATTCACTATATAATGCTACTCTCAGAGGCTCCTCCTGGTTTGTGTGAGACTTCTCCATGACAGTGAGAGAGAGTGGCTTCTCAGGAAGATGAAGGTGCAGGGCTAAGGGGCTCCATGTCTTCACATTAGCTTGAGGCCCCTGAGCACCCCTCCCTCCTCCCTCCTCTGTGCAGGCCTAGCTGGGGCAAGCAGAGAGAGGAGGTCCCACTCACCTGCTTTCATCTTCGATTTTGAGGAATGGTGCCTTCAGTCTGGCTACTGAAAGGGGAAGAATGCACACATTAGCTATCTGTCTGGCCCTGTGCAGGGCCTGCACCACACACGCAGGAAATGCTCAGAGAGAGGAGGCTCTGCCAAAGCCTAAGAGCCTTGCAAGAGCTGGAAATCATGCCACCCCAGGCTGCACTCTCCATTCACTCAGATTTCCAGCCTCTATCCCTGGGAGAAAGGTTGCATCAGTCGGGGGATAGGCTGTAGTTACACTGAAGCCCTAGATGATGGGCCCTCCCTCAGCAGGATGCAGGAGCTCCTGTGTGTGGATTCTGGAGGCTATCGACCAACCAAAGATGCCACCACCATCAGACACCTGGCTGGTTTGGTGGGAGAAACCCAGTCCCTGGTGGTTTCTGCTAAAAGCAGGGTGGGGGTGGTCATTCCCACCAAGTCCCAGATCCTTCCTAGACCTCTGCTCCTGGAGCCTCAGGATACTGAGGGGCCTAAGAACAACTCCCCAGGCAGAATGCTCCAGGAGGACCCTGGGATTTTTGGAGGGGAAGCAGACAGGAAGAGGGATAAAGAGTGTTTAGTGGTCTTATTAGCAGGATGGTAGAAAAAATATCGCAGGTGAAATGTAGCTCCTGAAAAAATAGGGCAAAGGAGTGCTGAGAAGACGAATTTGGAGTCAATTAAGAGACTCACCCCTATTAGTTATTCGCATAGCTTAGAAAATCTCTTAGGCATCAGGACCCACAGTGACCAGGAGTCCTGTGGAAGGTGCAGCCAAGGCAGCTGAAAGCCTGGCCCCCGTCTGACAGCCACAAATTCCCCAAAGACGCTGGCACCTTGCAGCTCCCAACTGTACTTGAAGCCACCAGTAGCACCCAAGCAAAAAGCAGCCTTTTCTCCTTTAGCAACAGCTCTCATTAATTACTTTTTGGGGACAATTTCTTGTCTTTCTAATTAACTGAGACAGTTATTAACATCAATTCCCCTACAGACTTCCTTGAATTCTGAGCATGAGAGAGGTGCCAAGTGACTTTTCTTAGCTCCTGCTTGTGCATGAATAAATGCCACTGAAAGAGCATCTTTGGGAGAAACATCCAGGGGGAGAAACTCTCCTGCTGTCCAAGAGGAACCATGAGATAGAGTCCATCAATCCGCCAGTTTGTCAGTTTCAGGGAGTTTGGCAGTTCTGAAAACGGTAGGCAGCTGTCAAACTGCCCACCCTCAAACTGCTACTGAATCAGAAGGAAAAGGATGCTGAACCTCAATCGATGCACGGGAACAGCCAGAGGACATAGGAGCCAAAGTGTCTGCATGGGGTCTTGGCTCCAAAGGAGAAGCCCCGGCCCAGCAGCTTTGGACTTGCTCTTGGACATGCCTCTCTTGCTCCAGAAACCTGAGGCCCAGGCCCTGGAAACACAAAGGGGCAAGATAACCTGGACTCGCTTGCTGCCACAGAAAAGTGAGCAGATGCTGCCACAGAGGGAGTCGTGGGGAAGTGTTTAGGGAGGGAGGGATTGCAATTACATGAGGAAAAGCTACCACACTGACCTTTCCGTGTTCTTGACTCTGCTGCTGGACATGTTCCCTAAATGGAAAGGAAAAATAGGTTAAGGATGTGAGGAAGCCACGGGGGTCAAGGAACTGGGCCTGATAAACCAAGTGGCTGCCAGTCTGTCCCACTTTGCTTCCTGCTGTTGAGAGGCTTGCAGAACCAGACTCTTGGGCCCTGAGCTGGAGCAGACCTGGGCACAATGGCTCCCTCCTCGGCAACACGATGAATAAGGGTCACTCGGTGTGTGAATCTTAATGGCAGCTGACTGTGCAGGGAGTGCAGGACAGTGCAGAGAGCAAGAACTCCGGAGTCCCAGAGGCCTGGTGTGAACTTCAGCTCTGCCACCTGCAATGTGAGGAGGACCCACCGACCTCATAGCATGTTGCATAGAAGAGATGCTCACTAAATGGCAGCTTTATTTTCTAAGTACTGATGCTGTTCCAGGTACCCTATAGGACTAGGATAAAGACAACGGCCATTTGTTTTCCTCTGTCCTATCTTGTGTACTCTGATTCTGTGGGTCAAAATCAATGTTTAAGCCAAGGTCAAACAAAGCTGATATTAAAAGTAAATGGAGGCTGGGCACGGTGGCTCACGCCTGTAATTTCAACATTTTGGTAGGCCAAGGCAGGTGGATTGCTTGAGCTCACAAGTTTGAGACTAGCCTGGGCAGCATAGTGAGACCCTATCTCTAAAAAAAAAAAAAAAAAAGTATTAGCCAGGTATGGTGGCACATGCTGTAGTCCTAGCTACTTGGGAGGCTGAGGTGGGAGGATGGTTTGAACCCAGTAGGCGGAGGTTACAGTGAACAGAGATGGCGCCACTGCACTCCAGTCTGGGCGACAGAGCCAGACCTTGTCTCACAAAAAAAGTAAAGTAAAATAAATAAATAAAATACAAAGAAAAAAGAGTAAATGGATCTTCTGGTGTATACCTGAAAAATAAGTAAATAAATATAAAATAAAATAATCAGCTTTAGCCGGAGGGCCAGGATGATGGTGGATCCATGACCACTTGTGCCTCTGGGCCCTAAGAAGTTTCAGATTCTCCTCTAGGCCACACCTTGAAGGCAAACACAATCCAAAGAAGCCTCTCACACTCCCTTGCATATCAGCACATTACATCCAAAACTCACTTCACTGCCAGATATCTACAAAACTGATTTTTTTTCTTTCTTTTGAGACAGACTCTCACTCTGTTGCCCAGGCTGGAGTGCAGTGGTGCAATCTCAGCTCACTGAAACTCCTGTGTCCCGGATTTAAGCGATTCTCCTGCCTCACCCTCCCAAGTAGCTGGGATTACAGGTGTGTGCCACCACACCTAGCTAACTTTTGTATCTTAGTAGTGACAGGGTTTCACCATGTTGGCCAGATTGGTCTCCTGACTTCAAGTGATTCGCCCGCCTTGGTCTCCCAAAGTACTGGGATTACAGGCGTGAGCCACTGTGCCTGGCCTACAAAACTGATTAAGTTAAAGTAAAAATGCTGTGCATCTACCTAGAAGGGGAGAATTTTTGACATATTTGCTTCTATGTGCATAGAGTCCTAGAAACTGTTCACACTGTTTGTCAGGAAGGGAGGCCAGTGGTTGAGAAGATGGAGCAGGGAGAGACTTTTTGTTGTATACCCTTTTGAATTTTGAACACCACAAATTTAACAGCAGCAACATCCCCAACACTCCTAAAGGAGAGGGTGTGGAGAGGGTATCAGTGTCTGAGTGCTCCATTCACTATTTTTTTTAAGTTTTTTTGAGACAGAATTTCACCTGTTGCCTAGGTTGGAGTGCAATGGTGCAATCACGACTCACTGCAACATGCCTCCTGGGTTCAAGATTCTCCTGCCTTAGCCTCCTGAGTAACTGGGATTACAGGCATGCGCCACCACGCTTGGCTAATTTTTGTATTTTTAGCAGAGTCGGGGTTTCACCATGTTGGCCAGGCTGGTCTCGAACTCCTGACCTCAAGTGATCTGCCGGCCTTGGCCTCCCAAAGTGCTGGGATTACAGGTGTGAGCAACCACGCCCAGCCGCTCCATCCACTTTGGATGTGGTTTGCTAGTACTGTTAGCTAATTAGCATTGTTAACTAATAGCTATTACTGTTCATCCTGTGTCTGGATGCCAGGCTGTGGGTGGATCTGTAGATTTAATCCTTCCTCAGACTGAGGCTTGGGTGAAGATACTGTGGCTTTAAACCAGGTTGGGCTCTCTTGATGTGATACACACAGTTCTAACGCCAGCAAAGAATGGAAAACAAACAACGATTTAGAAGATGGCAGCTATTTCGATCACTCCTTCTCACCCCTGCAGTATGCAGACTTATTCCCAGGTTAAGAGCTGTCCCCAGAATAGCAGCCTGGTCAGTGCCATGGGCATTTATGAACCTTATCTAGTCCAGAACTACTGTAAGGCAGCCCATGGCCCAGGCGGCCCAGGCCATAGGGATGTCTCAGCAGGGTGTGTGCCATGGGAGGACTGCAAGTGCCGCAGAGAGAAGAAAGGGTGTCGCAAAGCTATGGGTGCTAGGACTGAGGTAAGTAAGAGGCTGCATTCCCCTTCCATCTTGCAGAATGGCCAGGAAGAGATGGCTTGGGCGGACCATGGATTTACCTAAGTTATCACTGATTTCACTGAAAACCATCCATTTGCCCTTCAGTTCAGCAGGATGACCTACCTCTGGCTTCTTTGGCTCTTGTTTTTTCACACATAAAGAGGCAAGAGACAGCTGCTGCATGTGCATCATCATTTCTGTGGAGAAGACAGAGGGTTTGTGCCAAAGGCTTCCAGTGTTCACTTACCTAGCACAGCCCCTTCCGGGCCGCAGGACTAAACTCGCTCGGCCAGCCCACTGAATCACTCCAGCCTTGCCTGCCACCTTCTGGCTACACATCCCCTCTGCATCTCCTGACGGCAGAGGTAAGGACTGGGTCCTCTATCCTCTATCCCTGGAACAGCACCTGAGTGGGTGAATACAACTGAATGTATTTGCAGCACTGAATACAACTCATCTTTGGACAGAAGGTGCCTCATGGCTTGCTAATGACTTTAAGGCACCACTGAAGAGCTGTGAGGGAAGCCATACTGTGTGAACTACTCAGCTGTACCCTCAGGTGAAAGACCAGCAAGGTCTACATGCTGGCACTTCTCTAACAAAGGAAGGCAGGGGAGGAGATCAAGTCAGAAATGGCTGATTTTTCAGTGAGATGAAGCCCTCCACATCCCAGACCAGGAACTTCCACTGTACAGCCTCTAGACTCCCCTGGAAGATCTTGGTACCAAGAGGTGGGGCAGCATTCCAGTCAGCACCTACGGGCTGTCCCATCTGGACCAGTCCCCTAAAATGGATCAGAGAAAACTCCAGACTCAAGAATGGAGTTGGGTATGAGATCACTCACTGCCAGCTGGTTCAAGACAACTATTCTAAACAGGCTGCAAACGGGTTGTTTACAGTGTGAGAAAAGAAGGAGCACACCATTTACAGCTGAGTCAAACTGAGAGTGGTGGTCCACACTACACACTCTGGCGAGACCATGGACAATTTGCCTAATCCGTTTGAAGCTCAATTTCCTCATCTGTATAATGGGGACAGAACTGCAGTGAGGATTAAAGGAGGTAATTCGTAGCACAGAGTCAATACCTGTTAAGTGGTCATGAAATTTTTTTTTTTTTGAGATGGAGTCTCGCTCTGTCACCCAGGCTGGAGTGCAGTAGTATGATCTTGGCTGACTGCAACCTCCGCCTCTTAGGTTCAAGTGATTCTCCTGCCTCAGCCTCCTGAGTAGCTGGGATCACAGGCATGCACCACCAGGCTCGGCTAACTTTTGTATTTTTAGTAGAGACGGGGTTTCACCATGTTGGTCGGGCTGGTCTTGAACTCTTCACCTTGTGATCCACCTGCCTTGGCCTCCCAATGTGCTGGGATTACAGGTGTGAGCCACTGCACTGGCCAGTGGTCATGAATATTAAGATAATTTCTGCATTTGTAAAACGGGATTATCACACTAGCTGGGGGAGAGCTGTAGCAGGTGACATGAAACGGCATGTTTTAGGGACCTCCTGCGGGACGCTAAAGCCACAGCCTGCAGTCTGCATCCTCACCGCTTTCTCCCTTCCCCACATCCTCCCACCTTTGTGGATCAACATGGCAGCTGAGTACTTCTGGCTTCCGGTGACCAGAAGCTCACATGACCATGATCCTCCTAAAAGCTGACACTCCTGGTCAGTCACCAACTCTCCCTCCACAGGAGCCCAGCACAGAAAGGGTACCATCCACGTGCAGAATCCTCACTCCCCAAGAGCGGGCATTGGTCAGGAGGCTGCTGCTGCCCCCACTGCCTCCTCCACTGATGCTCCCCTGAAATTACAACACAGAGTCAGGTAGGAGCAGAGACTCCCCAAGGCCTGAACGTGAAGGGGACAGATAGAAATTGCTTCTGGGAGCCCTGAGTCATCCATGGGAGGGACTGGGGGGAGGCAGGCAGGAGAGAGAGTACAGTGCCCAGAGAGTCCATCCCAACCCTCAGGAAGACATCCTGTCCTCCATATGGCCACATCGGGAGGGGAAAGACCACTGGTCTGCCTATACATTGTGCTCTGGCCACCTCGTGACCAGAAAGGAACAGGTGCTTCTAAGAGAGCTGTTTGTGGGGAGGGCCTCTGCAAGGAAAGCTCTCAGCACAGTAAGTACACAACAAACATGGTGACCATCATCCTCTCTGAGTATGAAACTATGCTGGCTGCCGATCTTCCCCCTCCACTGGCTCAGCCCAGCAGCACCACTTCCCCCATCACACAGCCATGTACCCCTCCTGATGTCACTAGCATGACTCTTCTCACAAGATCACCTTAACTCCTCTTCCTGCCACTAAACTTTAACAGCCCTGAATTTTCACACAAGGAATAAAGAGTTACTTGTAAAAGAAGTCTGGCTTCTGTACCAAGCAGCCCTGTCCTGCCACATCCCACATCCCCATGGTTCTCTTGGAAGGTTCCGGAGTTGGAGGTGGCTCTGGTTTCAACACTTACTCTCGAGGTGAATGGCTAAATAACTTGTCTGAGCCTCCACTAACTAACGTAGAAGAAGGAAATAATAACAATACTACATATCGCAGAATGTGCAGTTTGAGTGGGTGCTTCAGAAGAACCTGGGAAGAAGGGTGAAATCCCTCCCTGTGCTGGAGACTACCCACTCTGTCCCGTCTTGCTCCAGCTCACCTGGTTTCTGATGGCCTTCTGCAGCAGCTCCTTCCCTCTGCTTAGAGGCACCTGACGGGAGAGAAGAGCAGTAATGTCTGCTGTTAGGCCATGTGTGCACTGAAAGATGTTTACACAGGAGCAGGTGAGGGGTTATGTCTTGGCGTTATGTCCCACGGAAAGCTGGGAGCAGTGACAACTGAGGACTGGTAGAAATGAGAGCCTAGAAAACATCTAGGAGGGAAAGGTAAAGCCGCAGGAAGTTTAGGTAACCCTGAGGTGGCAGCCTGAACCTGGTAGAGAGAAGGGCACTCTGAATTCACTGAGATCCAATTGTTACAAATGTCCTGAGACCCCTCTTTAAGAGTCTCTGCACCCTCCAGCAGATAATGAAAGCAAATGTTTCACTTCAGAAGTTTTTGCTCGTAGGAAGTCCCATCTGTCATCACAATGCCAACAATGTATGTTCATGGACATTTTAATATTAATATAAGTTAGACAAAAATAAGAATGTAAGCCTAGAGGGGAAAAGCCATATTCCATTTTAAATCAAAGACATAACACGTGTATTATCCAAACTCTTGGCCCTTCATACATGCAAGCAAGGAAGAAGGGAATGGCTGCCTACTCAGGGTACTCCTGCCCAAGCCCAGACCAATCCCAACACGTCTTCTCTGGTTTATGAAGAGTCTCTTCTGGTTTCTAAAACTCTGGCTTTGAAGTCCTATAAAAACTGACATATGGCATAAAAGGGTAGCACGGGGGATAGTATGTTGCTGAGGTGTTTAGATCCAGAGCTATGATAAAATATTCTCAGTCCCTGAATTCAAATGAGAGATTAAATTAAGCCAGATGAAACTGAAACCAGAGACTGCCTTAAAAGGCTCACCAAAGCCTACTTCCTTTGTTTACACAGCATACCTTTCCTACTCCATGAGGTTCTTACCGAGTCAACGGGTTTTTGTGAAGGCCTGGGGTGGCTGCCTTTTGGATCAACCATGGCCGATGTTTCCACTCTGACCTCACTGGGGTTAGGGCTAGGGCAGCCTCTTTGGTTTGTCCTACTGCTCTCTGCTTTTGCTTCTCTGCGGCTGGACACGATGTAACTTACTTCTTTGCTCAGAAAACCCTCAATTACCTGAAACCAGATCACAGAGATGGCTGAAAACCAAAAAGCAAATGCAGAATTGTCAATATAAAGAGGCTAGAGAAGGAAATCTTGGCTGCCAGGAGTTCCAGAATCAATGTCTTTAAATAGACTAAATGCAGTTCCGTACCAAGTTCCTAAGAAGACATCATCCTGAAATCTAATAGGGTGTATATATACATATATATATAAATAAGACAGGTTTTGTCTCCAGGACTGCTGCCCCTGACCCAGTGGTAGAAGGCTGCAGGCTTTGAGTTCTATGAGCAGTCTGAGTTTGCATATAGCAAGAACACATTGGAAGAACTGGACAGGATCAAGACTAGCTGGTGTAAGCCATGATTTTTCTGTGTAAGACACACTGGGGACCAGGTATGGTGGCTCATGCCTGTAATCCTAGCACTGTAGGGGGCTGAGGTGGGAGAATCACTTGAGGTCAGGAGTTCAAGACATGCCTGGGCAACACAGCAAGACCCTGTCTCTAAAAATTTTTTTTAAAAATTTCTTAAATTAGCTGGGTGTTGTTATGTGCACCTGTAGTCCTAGTTACTTGGGAGGCTGAGGCAGGAGCATCCCTTGAGCCCAATAGTTCAATGATGCAGTCAGCTATGACTGCACCACTACACTCCAGGTTGGGGAGTGAAATCCTGTCTCTCTTAAAAAAGAAGAAAAAAAAAAAAGGCTAAAATGACTTATTTTATGTTATATATACTTTATGACAATTACAAAAATCTAGTTATGAATTGAAGCATTACATTTACCTTTTTTTCTTTTCTGTTTTTTTTTTTTTTTTTTTTTTTTTGTGACAAGGTCTCACTTTGTCTCCCAGGCTGTAGTGCTATGGTGCGATCTTGGCTCACTCTAATCTCCACCTCCCGGGTTCAAGCAATTCTCCTGCCTCAGCCTCCCAAGTAGCTGGGACAACAGGTGTGTGCCACTACACCGGCTAATTTTTGTATATTTAGAGGAGACGGGGTTTCATCGTGTTGGTCAGGCTGGTCTGGAACTCCTGACCTCAAGTGATCTGCCCACCTCGGCCTCCCAGAGTGTTGGGATTACAGGTGTGAGTCACCATGCCTGATCACATCTACCTTTTTTTCATCACCAGGCTGGAGTGCAGTGACACAATCTCGGCTCACTGCAACCTCTGTCTCCCAGGTTCAAGCGATTCTCCTACCTCAGCCTCCTGAATAGCTGGGACTACAGGCATGTGCCACCATGCCCAGTTAATTTTTGTAATTTTAGTAGAGATGGGGTTTCACCATGTTGGCCAAGATGGTCTTAATTTCTTGACCTTGTGATCTACCCACCTTGGCCTCCCAAAGTGCTGGGATTACAGGTGTGAGCCACCGTGCCTGGCTGCATCTACCTTTTTTAATATGGCAAAAGCAAATGCTAGAGGGTAGGAGTAGGGCAATCAATGATTATCCTATATAAATACAGGAGATTGTTAATGACTATATATTCCTCCTCCCATCCCAGCATACCTACTCCTTTGCAATATGACTTTGTTGTTCCTGCCATTAGGAGATGGGACCTACTTTTTTATGCCCTTCAATCTGACATGAGGGCAATAGAACATGAGGAAATTATGATGTGTGAGTTCTAGAGCCTAGGCTTCAGAGGCCTTGGCTTCCTGCCTCACTTTCTGGGAAGGCTGCCTTGAGACCACCATGTTAAATCAGCTAGTCTGGCACAGAGTGCCAGATGTGTAAGTGAGGCCATCTTGGTCTTTCCAGCCCAGGTGACCCTCCAGCTGAATGCAGCCTCAGGAATGAGCCCTGTTGAAACCAACAGATAAACCACCCAGCCAACCCACAGCATAATGAGAAATAATAAATTGTTGTTTTGGCCAGGTGCTGTGGCTCACGCCTGTAATCCCAGCACTTTGGGAGGCCAAGGCAGGTGGATCACCTGAGGTCAGGAGTTCGAGACCAGCCTGGCCAACATGGTGCAATTTCGTCTTTACTGAAAATACACACACGCACACAAAAACTAGCTGGGCATGGTGCCTGTAAACCAAACTACTCTGGAGGCTGAGGAAGGCTTGAACCTCGGAGTTGGAGGTTGCAGTGAGCCGAGATTGCACTATTGCACTCCAGCCTGGGCAACAAGAGTGAAACTTTGTCTAAAAATAAATAAATAAATAGAAAATAAGTTGTTGCTTTAAGCCCTATATAGCAAAGGCTAAATGACAGAAAGGTCTAAAAGTTCAAAATGTAATTATGGGCCAGTTTGGTTATATAATCCTCATTCTATCCATCCTCACCGAGTTTCTGCAGTCCCGAGTTTCTGGGTTTGACAGCAAAGGGCCTCTCCATTCCAAGCCTATTCATCTAGTTTCCCCAGTTGTTAGTCTCTTTTGGGCCAAGAACTATCATGCTGTCTTTTTTTTTTTTTTTTGGAGACAGAGTCTTGCTCTGTTGCCCAGGCTGGAGTGCAACGGCACAATTTTGGCTCACTAGCACCTCTGCCTCCTGGGTTGAAGCGATTGTTATGCCTCAGCCTCCCGAGCGGCTGGGACTACAAGTGCGCGCTACCATGCCCTGCTAATTTTTTATATAAGGTTTCATTATGTTGGCCAGGCTGGTCTAGAACTCCTGACCTCAGGTGATCTGACCACCTCAGCCTCTCAAAGCGCTGGGATTACAGATGTGAGCCACTGAGCCCAGCCTAAATATATATATATATTTTGTTTGTTTGTTTGTTTTTGAGATGGGGTCTTGCTTTGTTGTACAGGCTGGAGTGCAGAGGCACGATCTTGGCTCACTGTAACCTCCACCTCCCGGTTTCAAGCAGTTCTCCTACCTCAGCCTCCCGAGTAGCAGGGATTACAGGTGCATGCCACCACACCTGGCTAATTTTTGTATTTTCAGTAGAGACTGTGTTTCACCATGTTGGCCAGGCTGATCTCGAACTCTTGGCTTCAATCCCAAAGTGCTGGGATTACAAGCGTGAGCCACCGTGCCCAGCCCCTAAAAATATTTTAATGGAATCAAATACAGTAAATGCTTTTTACTCAAAGTTGTTCACCTGTGTTATTTCTAAACGCTAAAAATTATTAAGACTCTAAATATCCACAGGGCAACAGTTAAGTAAATTAATAATCCACTCAAAAGAATATTATATTCCCATTGCAAATGATACATATGAAGGGCAATAATAATAGAAAAGTGCTAATGCTTTAAGGTTATAGGTAAAAAGTTGATAATTAAAAATGTACTAATGCCAGCTGGGTGCTGTGGCTCATGCCCATAATCCTAACATTTTGGGAGGCTGAGGTCGGGTGGATGCCAAGAGTAAAAGACCAACCTGGCCAACATAGCAAGACCCTGTCTCTAAAATTTAAAAAGAAAGTACTCATGATCACAGCTAGAAAAAAATAAGCATTGCCCTGCCCTTCCCAGCCCTGCCCTCAGCTCCCTCTTGCAGGCAACTGGGTAAGGCAAAAAAAAAAAAAAAAAAAAGGCCAGGCGTGGTGGCTCACACCTGTAATCCCAGCACTTTGGGAGGCTGAGGTGGGTGGATCACCTGATATCAGAAGTTCCAGACCAGCCCAACCAACATGGAGAAACCCAGTCTCTACCAAAAATACAAAATTAGCCAGGCATGGAGGCGCATGCCTGTAATCCCAGCCCCTCGGGAGGCTGAGGCAGGAGAATCGCTTGAACCCAGGAGGTGGAGGTTGCAGTGAGCTGAGATTGTGCCATTGCACTCCAGCATGGGCAACAAGAGCGAGACTCCGTCTCAAAATAAATAAAGAAAAAGGGCCAGTAGCAGTGGCTCAGGCCTGTAATCCCAGTACTTTGGGAGGCTGAGGCAGGAGGATTACTTGAACCCAGGAGGTTGTGACCAGTCTGGGGAACATGGCAACACTCTGCATCTACAAAAAAATACAAAAATGAGCAGGGCATCGTGGCAAGCACCTGTAGTCCCAGCTACAGGGAGACTGAGGTGGGAGGATCGACTGAGTCCGGGGAGGTTGAGGCTGTATGAGGCTGTAGTGAGCCATGATGGCGCCACTGCATTCTAGCCTGGGTGACTGACTGTGGCCCACTATCAAAAAAAAAAAAAAAAAAAAAGAAGCACAATAAAACAAAGGCAGGATGGAGGCAGAAGGAAGTTGGAAATTTACCCCGGGCCAGGAGTATCAAGGGGAGTTGCCCAAGCATATAGGGAGTGGTTTCCTTTTTGGGGTGATGAAAATGTTCTACAATTGACTATGCGATCATATAACTTACACATTCCTGTGACTATACTAAAAACCACTGAGCTGTGCACTTTAAATGGATGAATTTTATGATATGTGAATTATATCTAAATTAAGAAAAATACTTAAAAATGCTAGTTGTCACTTGGAGTACTTCCATGTTCTCTAAAATTTCTAGAACGAACAGATAATATGTTTATTTATTTATTTATTTTAACATTATTTTTGAGACAGGGTCTTGTTTTGTCATCCAGGCTGGAGTGTAACGGTGCAATCATAGCTCACTGCAGCCTCAAACTCCTGAGTTCAGGTAATCCTTCCACCTTAGCCTCCTGAGTAGCTGGACTATAGGCATGTGCCACTGCCCCCAGCTAACCTTTTTTTTTTTTTTTTTTTTTGAGATGGAATCTTGCTCTTGTTACCCAGGCTGGAGTGCAATGATGTGATCTCAGCTCACTGCAACCTCTGCCACCTGAGTTCAATTGATTTTCCTGCCTCAGCCTCCTGAGTAGCTGGGATTACAGGCATGTGCCACCACGCCAGGTTAATTTTGTATTTTTAGTAGAGATGGGGTTTCTCTATGTTGGTCAGGCTGGTCTCAAACTCCTGACCTTAGGTGATCTGCCCGCCTGGGCCTCCCAAAGTGCTGGGATTATAGGAGTAAGCCACTGTGCCTGGGAATTATAATTTTATTTTTTGTAGAGATGAGGTCTCACTGTGTTGCTCAGGTTGGTCTCAAACTCCTGGACTCAAGCAATCCTCCCACCTCAGCCTCCCAAAGTGTTGAGATCACTGATGTGAGCCACCACAACCCGCCATTCAGTTTCCTTTTTTTTGACTGGACGTGGTGGCTCACACCTGTAATCCCAGCACTTTGGGAGGCCGAGGCAGGCGGATCACGAGGTCAGGAGATCAAGACCATCCTGGCTAACACGGTAAAACCTCGTCTCTACTAAAAATACAAAAACATTAGCCGGGCATGGTGGTGGGCACCTGTAGTCCCAGTTACTCAGGAGGCTGAGGCAGGAGAATGGCATGAACCTGGGAGACAGAGCTTGCAGTGAGCCGAGATCCCGCCACTGCACTCCAACCTGGGTGAGAGAGCGAGGCACTGTCTCAGAAAAAAAAAAAAAAAAAACGTTTCTTTTTTTCTTGAGACAGGGTCATGCTGTGTCACCTTGGCTGGACTGCCTCCTGGGGCTCAAGCGAGTCTCATACCTCAGCCTACTGAGTAGCTGAGACTACAGGCATGTGCCACTGGACCTGGTTAATTTTTGTATTTTTAGTAGAGACAGGGTTTTGCCATATTGGCCAGGGTGATCTAAACTCCCAGGCTCAAGTGATCCACCTGGTTCGGCCTCCCAAAGTGCTAGGATTACAGGTGTGAGCCACTGCATCCAGCCTTTTTTTGAGACAAGGTCTCACTCTGTTGTCCAGGCTGGAGTGCAGTGGCACAAGATCTTGTCTTCAGCTCACTGTAACCTCCGCCTTTTGGGCTCAAGTGATCCTCCTACCTCAGCCTCCCAACTACAATCATGCACCACGACACCCGCTTAATTTTTTGTATGCTTTGTAGAGACAGATTCTTGTCATGTTGCCAGGCTGATCTTGAACTCCTGGACTCAAGTGATCTGTCCTCCTCAGCCTCCCAAAGTGCCGGGATTACAGTCATGAGCCACTGTGCCCAGCCTAAGTTTCTAATATGGAAAAAGATTTATCTTTAGTTTTTAAAGGTTATTTATTATCATTATTATTTTTTGAGACAGAGTCTCGCTCTGTCTCCCAGGCTGGAGTGCAGTAGTATGATCTCGGCTCACTGCAAACTCCGCCTCCCAGGGTCAAATAATCCTCCTGCCTCAGCCTTCTGAGCAGCTGGGACTATAGGCGCCAACCATGATGCCTGGCTAATTTTTGTATTTTTAGTAGGGACAGGGTTTTGTTGTTTAGGCCAGGGTGGTCCCGAACTCCTGACCTCAAGTAATCCACCTGCCTTGGCCTCCCAAAGTGCTCGGATGATAGATGTGAGCCACTGCACCTGGCCAAAAAAATGGTTTATGTTTAAAATTGCTTTGGGAAATGTAGTGAGACCTTTGAAAATACCTGGAAACTGCCGGGCGTGGTGGCTCACACCTGTAATCCCAGCACTTTGGGAGGCCGAGGTGGGCAGAACACGAGGTCAGGAGTTCAAGACAACCCTGGCCAACAAGGTGAAACCCCATCTCTACTAAAAAGACAAAATTAGCCAGACATGGTGGTGTGCACCTGTAATCTCAGCTACTGGGGAGGCTGAAGCAGGAGAATTGCTTGAACCTGGGAGGCAGAGGTTGCAGTGAGTTGAGATTGTGTGACTGCACTCCAGCCTGGGTTATAGATCAAGACTCCATCTCAAAAAAAAAAAAAAAAAAAAAAGGAAAATACCTGGAAACTATAGATATAATCCCTATCCAATTCCTGCTCTACAGCGCAAATGCACATGGTATCACAGGAGAAGAGCAGGTTACCTACCCCACCCAGTTGCTGAATGGCCCCTGTCAAAAACTGGAGATTCTTGCCAGCAGGCAGATCCAAGTAAAAGGACTTTCCGGAAAAGGGATGCTTCCCAGCACCTGGTGAGTTCTTCTGGCATTTTCCCAGATACCTGGAAACCCCTAGCTGAGCCCCTAGAAAACAATAAAGAGGAGCAAAGTAAGAAGCTTGAAAAGAGAGTCCTGAGGCCAGGTGGCCCTCACTGACAGTTCAGTCTGTGAGCTATAACAGTGCAGACTAGGCCCTGGGCACACACAGACAGCTGCAAAGCCAATGCCCTTACCCTCATGAAGCTCAGATGTGGTGAAACTAGAACCTTCCAAACAAGATAATAAGCAAACAAGGCTTGCTGACTTCTTCACTTCTTCCTTAGAATCTAAATCTAGGGAAGCCATTTAAGTAAAAAGGAATTAGACAGATCCCCAAACCAGACACTGGGGGGCTGTGGTAAGCTAGGGAAAAGAGGGCCCAGATTCACAGGGGGCGCCAGGCAGGAGGATGCTTTCTAGCTGTGCTGAGCGAGTCACTGCCTGCCATGTTGCCAGTGCCAAGTAAGCAGCCCAGCCCTAACCAGTCAGCAGGGTAACATCATGCCAGTGTTGCAGCCTAGCTTAGGGCAAATATGCATGTGTATTTGAGACAGGTAAGAGGGTAGGGGGACAGTGAACTTGTTGGCTCCTGAATGGGCCTACTTCCTAACCTCTCCATTTGGTAACTTAGGTAATTATAACTCAAAAAGACAGCTCTTGAAAAACAGGACAAAGAGCCTGTGTGTGTGTGTGTGTGTGTGTGTGTGTGTGTTTGTGTTGGAGAGCACAGAATGCTGCTGCAAATGGAGAGTGAAGGAGCCCATATTCCAGGGGCTCTGCAGCATAGTGGGGCCATTTCCTCTTCTTTTTTTTTCTTTTTCCCTTTTGAAATGGAGTTTTGCTCTTGTTGCCCAGGCTGGAGTGCAATAACGTGATCTTGGCTTACCGCAACCTCCTTCTTCCGGGTTCAAGCGATTCACTTACCTCAGCCTCCCCAGTAGCTGGGGTTACAGGCATGCGCCATCACGCCTGGCTAATTTCATATTTTTAGTAGAGTCAGGGTTTCTCCACGTTGGTCAGGCTGGTTGCAAACTCCCAACCTCAGGTGATCCACCTGCCTCGGCCTCCCAAAGTGCTGGGATTACAGGCATGAGCCACAGCGCCCAGCCTGGGTTGTTTCCTCCTCTATGCAACCTCCAATCCCTAGACTCAATGGAGGGACACATGAGATAGCGCATAAGCTTTTGATCTTCCTTCCAGGAGCACGTTACCAATCAGAGTGGCTAATGTCCCAAAGGAACATTTGTGTATAAGAAAACATGAGGCAACTGAAGAAAGCAAGTACTACCAAAGAAACTTTCTCTGGTATAGATTGTCTGTCATAATAATGAACCAGATAGGAAAAAGAAAAAACCATTAAAGTATAATAAATATCATCAAAAAGGCTAGGGAGGATACAGGAAACATAAAGCAGGAACGGCAGTTAAAGAAAAGAATTAGGACGGGCACAGTGGTTCATACCTGTAATACCAGCTGGGAAGCTGAGGTGAGCACATTACTTAAGGCCAGGAGTTCAAGACCAGCCTGGGCAACATGGCAAAACCCTGCCTCTAACAGAAAAATTAGCTGGGCATGGTGGTGCACGCCTGTAATCCCAGCTACTCGGGTGGCTGAGGCACAGTAATTGCCTGATCCCGGGAGGCAGACGTTGCAGTGAGCTGAGATCATGCCACTGCACTCCAGTCTGGGTGACGGAGGGAGACTCCGTCTCAAAAAAGGAAAAAAAAAAATTAGTTGGAGATAATGGACATGAAAAACAAAGTATTTTAAAAATCTTGGCCGGGTGCCATGTTTCACACCTGTAATCCCAGCACTTTGGGAGGCCGAGGCAGGTGGATCACTTGAGATAAGGACTTTTGAGACCAGCCTGGCCAACATGGTGAAACCTTGTCTCCACTAAAAATACAAAAAATAACCAGGCATGGTGGCTCACGCCTGTAATCCCAGCTACTCGGGAGGCTGAGGCAGAATTGCTTGAACCCAGGAGGTGGAGGTTACAGTGAGTTGAGGTCACACTACTGCACTCAAGCCTAGGAGACAGAGCGAGATTCTTCTTCTTCTTTTTTTTTTTTTTTATTTAAAAAAAGCCAGATAATAGCAAGTGTTGGTGAGGATATGAGAAACTGGAACCCTCACATACTTCTGGAGGGAATGTGGAATGGTGCAGTCACATTGGAAAAACCATGTATCAGTTTCTCAAAAGGTTAAAACACAGAGTTACCGTATGACCCAGCAATCTTACTCCTAGGTATAGCCTTGAGAAATGAAAATACAGCCACATGAATGAAAACCTGTAAATGAATGCTTATAGCAATATTAATCATATAGCCAAAAAGTGAAGTCTTTCCCACCCTGCAAGATGATGGGTGAAAAAGTTGAGAAGCCAGATATAAACCCAAGGCCAAGAAGGCTGATGCTGGTGGCAAGGTGAAAAGGGGCAACCTCAAGGAGAAAACGCCCAAGAAGGGGAAACCCCATTGCAGCCGCAATCCTGTCCTTGTCAGAGGAACTGCAGATATTCCCGATCTGCTATGTATTCCAGAAAGGCCATGTCCAGGAAGAAGTACTCAGCTGCTAAATCCAAGGTTGAAAAGAAAAAGAAATTTCTTGCAACTGTTACAAAACCAGTTGGTGTTGACAAGAACAGTGGTACCCAGGTGGTTAAACTTCACAAAATGCCTAGATATTATCCTACTGAAGATGTGCCTCTAAAGCTGCTGAGTCATGGCAAAAAAAACCCCCTTCAGTCAGCATGTGAGAAAACTGCGATCCAGCATCACCTCCAGGACCACTCTGGTCATCCTCACTGGGCGCCACAGAGGCGAGAGGGTGGTTTTCCCGAAGCAGCTGGTCTTGGGACTGGACCTCTGGTCCTCGACCAAGTTCCTCTACAAAAAATACACCAGAAATCTGTCATTGCCACCTCAACCAAAATTGGTAGCAGCAATGTGAAAATAGCAAAACATCTTACTGGTGCACAAGATTTATCAGAAAGTTGTGGACTCACGTTTTACAAAAAAAAATCAAACCTTTTCTCAGCTCCAGGGCTACCTGTGATCTGTGTTTGCCCTGATGAATGGAACTTATCCTCACAAATTGGTGTTCTGAATTTCTTAAGAACCTAATAACTGATAACATTTTGTGTCTCTTAAAAAAAAAGTGGAAACTCATATGTCCATCTGATTAATGGATAAACAAAATGTGGTATATCCATATAATGGAATACTACTCAACAATGAAAAGGAATGATGTACTGACACATGATACCACATGGATAAACTGCAAAAGCATCATGCTAAGTGAAAGAAAACAGTCACAAAAGACTACATATTGTATAACTCTATTTATATGAAATGTCCAGAAGAGGCAAATTTATAGAAACAGAAAGTAGATCAGCAGATGACTAGGGCTGGGGAATCAGGAAAAGTTTGGGAGTGGCTGCTAATGGGTATTCTTTTTTGGAGTAAGAAAAGCGTTCTAAATTGATTGTGGTGATGGCTGCCCAATTCTGTGAACATACTAAGTCACTGAATGTACACTTTATATGGGTGAACCGTGTGGTGTGTGAACTATAACTCAATAAAGCTGTTAAGAAAAAAAAAAAATGGGACAGGCGTGGTGGCTCACGCTTGTAATCCCAACACTTTGGGAGGCCAAGGTGGGTGGATAATGAGGTCAGAACATCAAGACCATCCTGGCCAACATAGTGAAACCGTATCTCTACTAAAAATACAAAAATCAGCTGGGCGTGGTGGCATGTGCCTGTAATTCCAGCTACTTGGGAGGCTGAGGCAGAAGAATTGCTTGAACCAGGGAGTCAGAGGTTTCAGTGAGCCGAGATCATGCCACTGCACTCTAGTCTGGCGACAGAACAAGACTCCATCTCAAAAAAAAAAAAAAAAAAAAAAAAAAAAAAAAAAAAAAAAAAAATTTATTTTGAGACAGAGTCTCACTCTGCTGCCCAGGCTAGAGTGTAGTGGCATGATCTTGGCTCACTGCAGCCTCCGCCTCCCAGGTTCAAGTGATTCTTCTGCCTGAGCCTCAAGTAGCTGGGATTACAGGTATGCAGCACCAAAGCCAGCTCTAAAAGAAAAACAGCTTAAATCTCAATATTTGCACAGTCTCAAAGTATCTTCCTGTAAGATAGTTATTTATTACAAAAGGTAAAACAGTAACTTCATGTGGAAAAATCTAGCAGACACCACTTTTAATCAAGGGATCGAAGTTAATGAGATTTATCTTATCTTCATCATGTGCCTCTTGATAACACATACTGGAGAGGGGATAACATCACTTCTGCGCCAAAAATGCTTTAGCTGAATTCAATCATGTGGACATATCAAACAAACCCAAATTTAGAGGTGACTTCAAAAGTACTGAGGTCATCAAAGACAAAGAATGAGGAGCTCCTCTCAGGAGGAGACTAAGGAGACATGATAACTAAAAGCAACGTGTAATCTTTTTTTTTTTTTTGAGATGGAGTCTTGCTCTGTCACCCAGGCTGGTGTGCAGTGGCGCGATCTCGGCTTACTGCAACCTCTGCCTCCGAGGTTCAAGAGATTCTCCTGCCTCAGCCTTCCAAGTAGCTGGGACTACAGGCACGCGCCACCACACCCAGCTAATTTTTGTATTTTAAGTAGAGACAGCCACGTGGCCCAGGATGGTCTTGATTTCCTGAACTCATGATCCACCCGCCTCGGCCTCCCAAAGTGCCGGGATTACAGACGTGAGCCACTGTGCCTAGCTGCAACATGTAATCTTAAATCAGGAAAAGAACATTGGCGGATAATTGGTAAAATATGAATGAGATCTACTGATTAGTTAGTAACATCAATATTAATTTCCTGATTATTTTTCTTTTCTTTCTTTTGAGACAGGATCTCACTGTCGCTCAGGCTAGAGTGCAGTAGTGTGATCATGGCTCATTGTAGCTTTGACCTCCTGGGCTCAAGTGATCCTCCCCGTGAGCCTCCTGAGTAGCTGGGACCACGTGCGCCACCATGTCACGCACCACCACACCCAGCAAATTTTTTTGATTTTCTGTA